AAATGAGAAACTTCCAAACTGCACCAGACTTTTGTTAGGCATTTTTCCAATCTGTAATGGCAGGTTTGAGAAGTTAAAAGTTAAAAGAAGAAATCAGCCGATTCCAGGAAGTGTCATGCTTGGCTCCCTTTCCAAAGAGAAAGGTTTTGTATACAACCATTTGTGCACATTAAGTTGAAAATGCTGTCAAGTTGCACAGTTCTCCTGGGTCAACTGTACAGTACAAAAACTGTACAATAGGGTCAATTATACCACCTGAAGCCCAATCAGGCTATGAAGTGGTTCTTATATAACAGAAGCCCATTTGCCCTTCAAACCCACACAATAAATGCATCAGAAGGTCAATGGAGCCAACAGGGACCATGCCCCTTCCCAAAAAATGGAGGGAGGCAATTTTTTTTCTTTATTAATTTAGTACACAATGAAACTAGTGATTTTTTTTGGGGGGGGGGCAATTTCATCTCCTTGAAATCCTTCCTTTCCCAACCCGGAGCCCCAAGATTCAGCCTGACCCTCAGAAAGTCATAAAAGGTTGCATTGTAAAGAAATTCCAATGCACATTGTAGAACAAGTGCTGTTTCCACAAAAACTTCAAGTGAAGGAATTTGAAAAGGACCACATTTATAACAGTTTGTGGTTTTTTAGTTCTGTACGGTATTTCTTTCAGTTGTATGGAAAGCTATTGTGGTAAGAGTAGGTTTGGCCTTTGGCTTTAACGCTCTTCATGAAAATCAAATGAGACACCAGTATATCCACCATATACTTCTTTATGGACATGTCTGCAGTTTACAAATCATCCTTCATAATGATGTCTGTATAAATTTACATTCACCAAGTGCTACTGGTATGTACATGTACATATACGATGCATTTACCAGGGAAGAGGTCATAAAGGCTTACACTGGGCATGATGAAGAAGCCTTGATGGCAGCATCATATAACTCTTCATGGAAAATGATCAAAGAGGTTTGTCCAAAAGTACATGTACATGTACATGTACCAACGAACATGCGTATACCAAAGAGTAAATCCAAATGACCAACTTGGTACCAATGAGTTTTGAATGAGAAAATTCAGCAACATCTGAAGCGATTTTTGGTAGCACACCATCACAAGGTGTACCACACATTTACATGTACCAGTACTATACATGTAAGTCCAGAATGCTGCATTCACACCATAGATTTAGCGCTGGGTCAGTATCCGGCCTGAGCAGAAGTGTCCCATCATCGGTTGAAAAGAGCAATGTTGGTCGGGAGTGTTCATTTTGTTGGCAGCAGTGCGACTGCAATACTTGCATTTGTTTGTGAACCGTCAATGCACAGTTACTACCAAAGGAACCTGCATTGCAAAACAAATTGAGCCCTCTCTTGGTTCTGCTTGGAGCCCATAGTGCTTACATTTGTATATGTATACACATACATACGTGTACATGTAGCAGGAAACAAACTTGGTAACCTTTTGTGTTTACACCGAAGATGTATGTTTTTATTCTTAGAAAATCAACATCTCCCTGATGCACTCCTTCCAAATGTTTGTGTTGTTTTATACTGACTATGTTTACATGTACTTCAGGGTGCCACTGATAAATACATGTACTTTTTAAATTAAGGTTTAATTCATTACTACATACAGCCACATGTAATGGCAGTAACCATGGTAACTGACAAGTAGTTATCATTTTCTACATGTGTAAAGTGCACCCTACCTAAGATTCTAGCCAACTATGACCATGTACGAAGATTGCGCTTGGCAAGTTTGCTGCCAAAGTCCAGGGGCTACAGCCATGATAGTTTTTTCAAGCCTTATATGTGAAGTTCATATACTAGCATCAGACATCCAGAAGCTAATGGGAAAATTATAAACAATTCCACTCTCAATGCATACATGGCAGTCGTGCAGTGCACGCATATATGTCCAAGTATATGTAGCACACCAGGATTCTCCACTGCACTGAAATGTGATATTAATCACTTAATTAAATCAGTCATCCTCTGCTAGACAGGACACCACCGGGACAATGGACGTCTGAATGCACCAAATATAGGCAGGGGAATGTGTGAAGCTTTTAAGGATGTGAAAACATCAGTTCATCTCAAAATGACAACCCCAAAAATTTCATTTCATGCACGGTTTTTATCTACATTCAAGAGGAGTAAGGCAGATTCTGTGACTTGGAGCAAAACAAAGCATCCTCTAACATGTAAACTTACATCAAGTCATTCCGATTTACATAACTTTCTGTTAAATATTTTTTTCACATTTTTTTAGTTCTTCATTATTTTTTTTTCATATGATCCTGTCGCTTGTCTGCTGAATGCAGCAATCCAAATCGCTGAGTTAGAAGAAAAGAATTTCCTGCTGAGTAGCTTCATATTCAAATCAAAGAAAACAGACATCAAACATCCTGTACATCAAACAAACAACATGATTATGACAAAGCACAGTGTGAATGATTATAACCTGTATATGAATTGAGGGAACAGCATATCAACGCAATTCAATTTCCATGTAGGGCTGCGTGCCTGATTTTTCCTTTTCTTTTTTTGGGGGGGGAGGTTGCCAAGATAATTGTTCTTTAATAATAATCTCTTTCAAGTAATAAAACAGCAGAATTTCCTCATGTGGGGAAGATTTTATGTTTGGCATGTTTGTGATTTTAGTTTTCAGAAGTCCTGGGCCATCTTTCATTTCACATGTGGTTTTCAACTGATGGAATGGTAAAAAGTACGTAAATTTTATCACATTGGTCAATTGATTATTTTATATACACACTGTACATAAAGTACTACATGTACCTCAAAGGGCGAAACATAAATTTACTACACCAGTGACATCCCCCCACAGAAAACAAACACAATCCAGATTGCAAAACAAACCAATGGTAAATAAATGAGAGAAATTAAAGCAAATTCTCACAATAACATTAATACAGTATGATTGCATTCATCTGACCTCCAATGTCATGCGAAGACCTGATGAAAACATGAAATGGGAGATTTAAAAGAGATAACAAACAGATCCCTGGTACCCAAATATATATATGCCATGTCCTAACAATACCTGGCCTAATGGCCCTGAACTTGGAGACTACACACACTGTAATCTTCCATGGCCAAACACTCCTTTGCAACTATCTGGATGAAGGAGGATTCCTGAAGTGATAATCAAAGTCAGTTTACCAACCCTCTTCATTAATTTGGGCTCTCAAATCTCCATTCATTGAGACCTGGGGGAGTGCCTGATTTGTCTCCCTGACCAAACAGAAGCTTAGGACTTTCAAAGGCTTGTGTCAACAGGTAAACAACACTGGATAAACTGGTTCCAAAGGTTGTTGAAAACATGCAGTGTCACCAGTGACGAATGGGGGGGGGGAATCAGACACCGGTTCAAGGTTGAGCGGGCCAGTGACCTTTGGCTCCCCTTGAGAGAGTGCTTAGCCTGGGTGAATGGGCTGGATCATGAACTACTGTACCTTCCATGCACCCAGAGAAAAGCGTTCAATTCACACTGGGGCAGTGGGGGTGCACAACTTTGGCACACACAATCCAAATGATTAAACGGTTCAGAGATAAGACTGGTATGTGTTGGGGTAGGGGGACGGAATTCATTTCCGCCAGTCAACTGTAGATTGAAAGTCATTGGTAAAATTCTAGTCCTGTAAAAACAAAAAGGAGAGGAATTAACTGCTCAAATTCTAGCTGCTGTACAGTTTAACAAAAAGCTTTTTCACTCTACCGTAAAATCAACAATAAACTGGTCATGCAGTATTTTTAAAACTGAAGACAGAATCAAAGACCCCAGTGAAGTAAATGTGCATGTACTAGAACTTAAACTCCTAAACAGACTTGTTTTCCATCTTACAATAAAACCATGTTTCCAACAATGGTAGACAAGTGTATGCTGCAAGCCCAATACAATGCAATGTTCCTTTATGTACATGTACATACATAAAACGTTCCTACATGTACAGGATGGCAGTATGCCCATACCCTATGTGCACTGCTATCCCATTCATTGTGCATTCCGTACATTGTATGCTACACTCAGCTGGCTGCCAGTATTGTGACGTCTTACATATATCCAGCTTACATAACGTTTGATACATGTACATGTACTATACATGTACATGTACAATGTATGTGATGCAATGGCAGAGCAGACTTGCACCTGGTGATCAGAGTTGGGATGGAAATAAAGACACCAATGCACCAATACATTTGAGCTAAATAAAGGCAACTTTTTATTTTTGGCATCAATGCAAACATGCCTGATGCAAGTAACCACTGGGACTGCATCATCTAAGTGGTAAAAGTTCTCTATCCTCGGTAACAGCCAACTTTACTTATTTCCAGGTGTCTCCCATTCCACAGGCCCTCGTATCGTAGGTCCTCAGAAATCTGCAAAATTTAACATCTCATTTCCAATTCAAGGGAATTTGCCTTTATTTTTACACCAGGAGATGAAACCATCAAATGTGAATGCATTTTTTAATTACTATTACTGTACATTTGTTACACAAAAAAGGGAGCCATTTCTGAAGCATGGTAGACACAGTTAAGGAGGGCCATATTTGAAGTTGGTAGATTTGGAGTAAGCACAAAAAGATTTTACCCAAACCAAATAGTGTAAACACAATTATGTGATTTTGAGATAAATTTGCACAATTTGGACACATTCCAACTAAAGTGACTTATGCTACTAATGCTTTGTCACATCTATTCTTTTTATGCCTTCCACTTTTGCAGCCCAGGTTCAACTCCCACCTAGGTCTGCGTATGTAATGGGTTTTCAGTCCCTACCCAATTCCGTGGGGGTTTCACCTGGATAAATTTATACAGGGTTTTCCTCCCACCTCTCAAATTGAAAATTTCTTCACTATAAAGACCCCAAATTATCAGCTTTTGCTAGACGGATTACCATCATTAAAGATGGTAACTGAAAATAAACAGTAAGCATGTCTTATTACAAATATGTTGAAAAAAATAAACTCCCACAATAAGTTGTCATGCCAAGAAGTGTCCACTGTGAAATTTACACCCAACAGGATGCACATACATGTACATGTAGTACATGTACAGCGAGTGCAGACACTGTCTTCCAAGCTCTAGGCAAGAGTGTCTATCGAGGTGTGACGAATCAGATAGCAGTATTCTAATGAGTAATCACTATCTGGTTTGTAAGTGCTTCATTATGCAGTGACAGGGATGTCCCACTGATTACAAGCTCCCAGTCCCACTCGACAAACACTCAAGTTGATTTAACTTCTGGCTCCATTTTTCTATACATTACACATGTAATTCTATTTGCAGAGGGCATGGTTTAAACTGAAGTGATATCACATTTATGAAGACGACTGGGAATGAGATCTGTATAAGGGCAACAATATTCTCTGGTTTTACATCAGATATCAAGAAATTTCAACAAATACCAATATAAACCAAGCAGAATGAAGTTACGTGTACATGTATCTTTAACAAAAGCTGAGGTGGAGTTTTGCGATATATTTGCACAATGCACAGGCAATTTTGAACATGACAGAGTTTCCTTTTATGAAAATGGAATTGAACATTACAAGTAACGACTACCAATGAAATTCTATTATAACAAATGTGAAATTTACAAGCTGCACCATCGTCCATGTCAATTGTTTGGACATTGTGGAAGAAAAAAATTTAATTATGAACAAGTTGATTAAGGCAGAAAACAACAGATAAATTGCAGGGTTTCTTTCACAGGATTTGGATGACAACTGACAAGGAGCTTTAACCATGTTATTTACACTGTTTGCATACATTACTCATTAGGCCTATGTGCCTACAGATATGATGATCACAAGTTACAACTTACTATCATACATGATCGAAGACAGTGAAATAAGGGGGAACTTACGGCGTAAATTATCTCCTTGTTGATCATGTTGATATTAAGCAGGTATTTGTAGGTTACGAGAAACTTTAAATTATCCACGCATCCCATGATCACCAGCGAAACACTATCTATTCAAATGCTACAATAACTCTGCGCATGCAGTGCAGTGAAAATCAATGGCATCTAACGTAATGATGTAACACCAGCCGGCTCGATGGTTGTGCGTCACACATCGGCGAATGCCTCCCTTCACGATCATCTCAAAATTTCACCACTTACCGGCATCGTCGGCCAATTTCACGGGACTGTCGCCTTTGCATGGTGGCTCGCTTTCAGTGACAACCTCATTTACTTGACTTTCTTTCTCCGATTTGCTGTTTTCAACCACAGAATCTTCAGCCATCGTGATCCAGGGCAGAGGCGATCAGCCGGCAAACTAAAGCATGGCACGTGTAGTCTGGTCTGCAGACCTACAACAGGATTATTATACAATACGGGTACCCGTCCAAAATTTTCCATGTACTACGCAAATACAAATTGCGGTGTACGTGTACACGACACGGTACCGGTCCCAGCCGGTCGATTTCATCATAACCTCTAGCTCTGCGCAGTGATATACCGCCCTCTTGTAGTAGCCCTGCCCCGCCCCCAACCATCCCACAAAATAATTCTAATAAGCCCGTGAATAAAATTCTTATTAACAATGAAGTTCCGTACTTAAAAACGCAGGTCAGAGAATGTAGAACTGGTGTAGCCCTCCCTGAAAGCTCCATGCTGAAAGCCTGTTGGTAAAAGTTTCTTAACTCGGAAAGGGACGGAGTTGGAACCACTCCAAGTCCAAGGTTCTGAGTATGATGTAACTCTCGACTGGCACATTTTGAAATAACTTTCGTAATATTTGTTAACAACTAAGTTGTCTTTTTTTATAAACGTGTAAGGTAAGACACGCTTACGTAATTACATACTTTATTTTTCATTGTTCATTGTTTTTCAAAAAGTTTTTCCCCTCACACTTGAAACGCGCTGATATGGGGATTTTCTATAGTTAGCCCCTGAGGTGTCTTCTCTGAAATGTTACCTGTCTTTCGGTTAACGGTTGTACAAACAGAAGTATTAAAGCAGATCAGCGGTATTTCAAGATTTGGGTAGGAGGATACGCATGGCGTAACTATGTTTGGGGGCACCCGGCGGTGCACACTTTTCCAAGGGGGCACCACAAGAAAATAAGCTGCATTTGCGTTTCAATGGAGATTATTCACAGAATTCAAATGGTGGGGGGGGGGGGGCAGAGACACCGGCTGATCCCCCCGTAGTCACTGTATATGACTGTTCAGTGACCTATGAACTTTTAGGGTCGCCAGGGAACAAAAATCAGGTAAAGTAGGAATGGAGACGAAGCCATGCATGCTACGATGCATAGTCATTACAAGGGAGTTTGTGTGAAAGTTTGCAGTATGATAAGACCTCTGGCGGAATTCCCACTGTGTGTCCAACCTGAAAGCAGCCATTAGGTCGGGTTTCACATCGCGAGCCCCTCCGTTACGGCGACGACCGTTTGGAATCAGATTTTATATGATTTCTAACTAAGCTTTACCTCCCCCCCCGGAAACTCGATATCTGTCACGATTCTGGGGATATGATGATCATTCTAAGGGAACATTTAATCAATGTTGGAAACTGTTGAAGTAGTTTTGCAATCAATCATTGTGCCCGGTATACTCTGGTAAGGTGCAGGCAAGGAAATGCAGGCCATAGTCTGGACCTGTTCTGAGGCTACCTTTTCCCCAGGAAAATTGGGCCAGAAAGTGTGACGGTGAAGTTATCATCATGAATATGAATGAACTTCGTCACCGGCTCTCATATTCTCCTCTCAGTGTAACAGTGCTCGTCGGCTGAGTAGAGGGGTGATACTCAGCTAATTCTCTAGCCTATTTTCAAAACGTTGTAATAAAACAGTATTTTATGAAAATAATCCCTTCAAGTTCCGTCATGGAGTGAACTGCGGGTCATTGTGTCGGCCGCCTTAGACACGTACCCCTCCCCGCGGCCGCGCGGCCGGGCTAAGGGAGGAGGTAATGAAAGTTCCACTTTTTAAAGCGTTCCAATGGACTTTGCGTGCAATTTATGTAGCAGTTACCTCAATCAACGTTAATTACATCCGCATTTTTATCGTTGATATATATATTTATGTTATGTAATGAATCATTGACAACGCTTTAAAAATTGCAGTGATAACCAGACAGATGCGCCTGCTCCCCTACTCCCTAATTTACCCAAAACATCATCTGTGGGCCAGTTGCATCACCAGGCAATCAAAGTATGCAAATTGCATTCTCAATACACGCGCGCACGCGCTCAAATTATTTAATTTCCGACGTCAATTAGTCAGGTGCCGGTGAAGTGAAAATCTTTAGGAAAGTTTTATATTTGACTCGCCTGGGTACTTTTCGCTAAAATGCAGTCATGTTTTGCACGTCTATTCGACATGAAACTTGAAAGGAGGGATTGATATGATGCGTATATAGATGAGTAGCGGGAAATTGATTTCTGTCAAACAATTGTAAGTTTAATTTAAAATGTTATTCTTAGGATATAGATATCCCAGCTGAGAAGGGAATCTTGTTGAACCAACTTCGGCATGATCTTTAATCTGTGGAATTCCCCTGTAGTCGAGTGTGTGAGTCATGCGAATAACCTGAGCAGTCTGGTTGCCAATTTGAATAAGCTGTAATGTTATTATTGGTCGTCTGGGTACCAAGCTAAGATTTACAATTTTTGTGTGTGTGCTCACTTTGTGCAATACCAGCTCCATGCACCCACCTCGCGAATGAAGAATCCACCGCTTACCGTTTTACGATGTTCAGACAGAAACGGACGGTGTCAAAGTCCAGGTTATTTCTCTCAATTTTTATCTCTACCATGCCCATGTGCACTTCTTGAACATATTGAAATTTTTTACTCGTAAAAAAATATACCGGCTTGGTACTTAGCATGACGCATGTGGCCTGCTGTGACATGTTTGAGAACTCAGTCAAAGACTACTGTCTGACTGTGTCATACCCTGTGTGACTTTGAGCCAACACAGTTTACCTGGTGTCGTAACGCTATAAGGTGTAAGAAAGCTATTTTTAAATTAAATCAAATTTTCCCCTGTCGGCTAATCTGATTAATCTACATGTATGGGGCAGCGCGGACATCTGGGAGTTTCACAAAAATACGGGTAGCAACCACACTGCGGCTGGTGAAAACAACTGCAACGAGTGCGCACGTACGTACAGATCAAAGAAAAGATTGTAATAACTCGATCCTCGGACTGGCTGGTGCATGTGTACGTTGCCAAGGTCGCTGTTTCCACCTGCGCAGTACCTGTCATTTTGCGAGAATCCCGGATGTCCGCACTGTCCTGTACCTCTTAAAAAGCGGGATAACAAGATTACAGAGCATGAGACAGAGTATTATTGACAAAAAATGAGATTTTTGCTCACCAATTTCTTGCTTGCACCTTTCACCGTCGCTCCGTTCATAAGCCTTATTGCAAATACTGCATGGGTGATTTTGCACAATAGTGGAAAGGAAAAAGGGGCAAACGTTGCCTCCTTTTCCTTCCCACAATGCCTTTCTACCATTGTACAAAATCACCCATGCAGTATTTGCGATAAGGCTTATGCTATTCGTGTTTATTAGACTGGAATTTCCCACCAAGTTCCAAGACCTTTATTCATACTTCTGATAAATGCAAAGATGCCAGAGGTTGTGCACATTGCCATGAAAATTAATAGTGCACACTCGCTCAGCGCCTTGCATGTGCAAATCAATGCACATTTAGCACATCCTCAAGCTAGTGTTATGCTCTGTGAGCGATGTGAAAGCTTAGGTGTTCTGTTGACGGAAGGTAACAAATCATAATATTGAATATTGCTCTTTCCAATTTTTCTTTTTCCAGAAATACTATGTCCGGCTATTTCCAACGTACCCACTCTACTGCCACTCAGCCCTCCAGTATGGAGCCGGAGACTAGCCACAACAATTCCAGCACTCCCCTCCGGCTCTTTGTCGATGCCAAGAAGAAGATCAATGAAATCTTTGGGGAGATTGCCTCACATACCAGAGAGAGTAAAGATTTCATAGTAGGTGAGTGGAATGGGAAGGGGTGGGAAGGAGCAGGCATTTGATCAATTCCCTGTACAGTTGGCTGTACTGTGTGGGACCTCTAGCTTTGGCAAACAAGGGCCCCAATTTTGTGGCAGTGCTAAGCACGCAATTTTATGTTAACAGCGGCTCTGCATACATGTATTTCATGAAGACTGTAAACCGTAAGCACTTGCAAAAGACGTGCTTAAAACTTTGCTTAGCTTAGTGACGTAACAATGGAAATCGTGCATGTTTGTGCAACCATTAGCATAACTGCACCAAGCACTGCCGGGAAATTGTGCATATGTTAGCAGAATTTTATGCTATGGCAAGCATGACTTTCATGCTAACTGTTAAGCAACTGTTTCGTCGTTACTTGACCCCATGGCATATGTGTCAAATGTCATGTTGTTGTTCTCCTTTTCAGACTTCAGTGCTTTTGTGTAAATCAGTGGTATTTCCTGTACATTAATTCAGTGACCAGAACTAGAAGCCATTCCTTCCTACGTACTGCCTCACTATGGGACTCCTTACTTGCATCCTGTTTCCCTGCTTCTTATAACCTGTCTCAGTTCAAACGAAACATCAACAGTTAATTGTCTTTCTGCCTTCAAATCGTCTTATGCTCTCAGTTCTCTGCTTTAACTTTGCTATTTAGCCCTCACCCTGAGTGGCCTCTTGGGGCCTTGTGTTGGGCGGCTTCCATCCCAAAAAAATTTAAAAATTGGAGTGGCACGGCTGGTGTAGTCATATTGAATACCTCTGACTTGCAGGGAGTTGTGATTTACCAAAATGTACTCGTGCTTAAGTATACACACATTTGTGGTACTTCATAGTGGTGGTGTTGCCTCACATAAGCCTCTAGGGTGTGCTTTTTACATTTGTGTATTTTTTTCGTGCACTGAAGAGCGTCACAGTAGAAGTGACAAGTGAGCATGTGAAAAGAGGCTTGAACATGCAAGTGGTACATGTATGGTGCACCTGTGACTTGTGTTCATCACTCTAAAGTGTGTTCAGTTCTGAGCCATTAATTGAAAAGAAATGCTTTCATTTTAAAAGATGTTCAGACTGGAACAGTAGAGCACTGTAATGCATGACATCATCAGTTGTACAACATTTTCCGATAATCACTAGCAAAACAATGTGCACGTGCAGAACTTCCAAAATGATAACGTCTTTATTGCTGCCTGAAATGTGACCAATTACATTGCTCCACAACATCGAGACAGAGCTGGTCTCTTTGTACACAATTTCACAATGTAAGGGGTTCTTTTGATGATTTCCTTTTTAATAAATCAAAAATAAATGTGATCAAATTAAATCAAATCAAATTGATTTTAATGAGTGGTTTTTATTGAGTCTTAGGTATGGTGTACTTATCTTGTGTGATCTAATTGAGTCAAATTCAGAAATTGACAAATGATCCGTGCAGTCAACAGTTGCTTCATTCTTCACTACTCCACCGCCAAAGTGTGCAATTTGTCGTTGATGCAGGGATTCCAAGTGACTTTGATGTGGTGTCGGACGACCTTATGGAGAAGGTCCAGGGCTTCTGCTCACAGGTTCAGAGCATCAGAGACGTGCTGGCCAGGGACCACATGAAAGTGGCCTTCTTTGGCAGGTAAAGTAGGCCCTAACAGGGCCTAATGCTAATGCGTGGGCGTCGCTGGGGAGGGGGAAAGGCAAAGAGGAATGCTTGCCTTTGAAAACAAATTGAAAAATAAACAAGCAGAAAACAGAAAAGAACAAGCAAAAGCAACAAACAAGGAGAAGAAGGGATGGAAGTCACAGATTTCATTTAAAATACCTCAGAACTGACACCTTTCCATTGTTTAGCAGTTTGCTGCCAAAGAGCGCTTCTCCTCCTTCCCCACCCCCTGGATAAAATCATTGCAACGCCCACGCCAAGTACCAATGCCTTGAGTCACGGTTTTAAATAGCGCCTGAGCTTCAGGCCTCAGTGGTTGCCATAACCGATAAGTCTGGGATGGTGTTTTTGAGATTTGCCAGCAAATTAACTCAATAAAGTAAGCTAGACAAAGCTCTATGTACAAATTGCTCAGTTTGGAATGAGAGTGGCACATTTTGTTGCCTACAAGACAATTCAGGACACAATACACAGAAAATACACATGAAGTTCTGAGAGAGTAATTGATTTTGTTTTTGAGTGTGAATGCATTACAGAAATTAATTTAATCCAGTGGCCATGGTAACCCTATCACTAGTCATTTGCATTGGCCCCCACAAATGGCGATAATATAGTGATAAGTATTGCAAAGAACCACAGTTCCATAACAGTCACTTTGTACAAAACCCAACACAGTGTTTTCTGCCATTTGTGGGGGCCACCAGCCATATTCAGTGAAACCTCATTGGATTCATATGTGATGACATATATTGTCAGGTTCCAGTTGATACTGTGAAGAGTATAATTCTGTCAAACACTGGAACGCAAGTACTAGTTTGCTATCTGACATATGACCTGCTAGGTGGGCATTCAATTGCCTGATGAAGTCTGAAGGTTTCTGATGAAGCCTAGCCATCCAAGTTTTTGTGTTACCTCTTTGCACCTTTGCAAAGTGGAGCTGCAAAATTTTTAGCCCTCAGTGCAGGCACTGAGTTGAGCAGTAACACAAAAAGGAAAAAGGCTTTAAACATTCCATCGGCTTGCTTTTCAGAACGAGCAATGGCAAGAGCAGTGTCATCAATGCCATGCTGAGAGAGAAGGTTCTACCCACTGGTATCGGTCACACCACCGACTGTTTCCTGTCCGTGGAGGGTAGCGAGACCAATGAATCCTACCTACAAATGGATGATTCTACTCAAAAGCTCAGCGTACAGGTGTGTGGTATAGTTTGATACTCTGACACAGCTATGTAAATATTCCAACAAATCACAGCTGAAGAAAGCTGAATCACGCCCAAAAATTTTTTTAAAAGGACAGAGCTAGATACAAGACATCAAAATCCAAAAGAATACACATTACAAAATGAAAACCAGTCATTTGAACTGTCTTCAACTCTTCAACTTTCCAGAATTAAAATGGGATTCATAAGTACTACTTTGTAACTATTTTTTTTGTTTTCCTTTTGTCGTGCAGAATGTTGGTCAGATGGCCAATGCTTTGTCCAATGAGAGAATTTGTGGCCAGAGCAGTGTTGTCAAAGTCTTCTGGCCCAAGTCTCGATGCCACCTGCTGCAGAATGACGTTGTTCTGCTAGACAGGTAGATTTGTTTTTCATATTAATTGATTGGGTTTAATTAATTAGTAATTGAAATCCAAGTGTTTATTTTAGCTACTGCAAATGAAAATTATCTCCTCCCCCAAGAAAAGCCAACCAAAATACACTTGTTCAGCTTAAAAAAACACTTTGAGTCCAGATGCTGAAAGTTTCTCATTGCAGCTGACAGTTTTTCGTGCGGTCGTGTAGGGCAGGGCAGTTTGCATTGAATTATGTTGTAAACAAGCTTGGCTTCAAAAAGTTTCTGAAAGACAGCGCGGTGCTGCGACTTTTGTCAAAGTGTGCATCCAATTTCAGTGGAAACCTCTGAAAAAAACAGCCTTGCTGGGCTTCCCTTTGCGGTTTCTTTTTTTTAAAAATCAGTTATCAATACTCTTTTTGGAATTGCCCTTTCAAATGAAACACACAGTCACATTTTCCAGCTCATTCAGTTGGATTTTTAACTCAGGTTTTGGTAAATTCTGATTAGAACGTGAAATCAGGTTTGTTGAAAATGTTTGCTGATGTTGTGATGTTTGTTGGTGTTGTGAATTTGTTTGCAGTCCCGGCATCGATGTGGAGCCAAACCTAGATCAGTGGATTGACAAATACTGTTTGGATGCTGACGTGTTTGTTCTGGTGTCAAATGCTGAGTCGACATTGATGAGAACAGTACGTATCTAGTCTTGTTTGTTGACTGTCCGGAAAAACCTGTGGGTGGAACTGATAAAATATGATTGGTCTGTCTTAAACCCAAAGAGCTGCACTTACAAACTAAATTGTCTCTAGAAATCCACCATTCCCAAAAGTGAAAGAATTTTATAAAATCAATCTAAAGTAATTGTTTCTTGACCTTCAAAAGGCGGCCCAGAGGTCTACATCTGTGGATATATATTAACCCTAACCTTCCCAGCAGCA